GACCAGAAGCACTGCAAAGCTTTACCTCAACCAAGAACCGTAAGCACCAACAAACTGTAGTTGTACGAAATTTGAATGATTTATTGTTAGAAATCTGTATGCCTAGCCTTGCTAGGAGTGGTCATGTATTTCAAATTTTATTTACAACAGTCCAGTTCACAGAAAAAAAAAAAAAATCAAGACTGCATTTTCAGGGAGTTGCACTGATTTTTGGTGGAATCAGACTTTTGCTCCATGTTTTGTGTTGTTGTAACATACTCCTTTCTCTAGTTCACTCAATGAACACTCACAAACTCACCCGTCATAACAACAAAAGCTGCCTTTGAAAGGCCAGGCAACTACCTGCTAGCCCATGAACCTACAATAACTGTCCTGTTCCGTTCAGGAGTAAGAAAAGAGTTGTTCACTCACGTTTAATCCGGTTGTGACTCCCTGGCTTCGCTCAGGTTAATCTTTTCCAGCCTTCATGCTTAGTTTCCCAGGCTTGAATTTACGAGCAGAACCAACACCTTCTGCCATCCACGGGGAAAGCACGGCCACTGGGGGACTTTTAGTAACAGGGGAGTGGTTTCTACTGCTGCTAGGGTTTGAGACCAGTGGGAGCTAAATCCCTTTGCAACCTGCGGGAGAGCAGCACGCTGCACCAGCGCTGAGGGCAGATCTGCAGGATCAGGAAGACCAATGAACAGAAGATCAGAAAGATCACAGAATCTGGTTTGGGGTGGGACCTTAAAGATCATCTAATTCCAACCCCTCTGCCATGGGCAGGGACACCTCCCACCAGCCCAGGCTGCCCAAAGCCCCATCCAGCCTGGCCTTGAGCACCTCCAGGGATGGGGCATCCACAGCTTCTCTGGGCAGCCTGTGCCAGGGCCTCATCACCCTCAGGGTAAAGAATTTCCTCCTTATATCTAATCTAAACCTACTCTCCTCTTGTTTAAAGCCATTACTCCTTGCCTTATCACTCCACTCCCTGATAAAGAGTCCCTCCCCAGAGATGAGATGTGCTTCGCTCCATCCTCTCATGCCTCCTCTGTTCATCTCCTGCAGTATTTCTGCTTGCAGAATCACACACCACTCTCTTGTTTGGTTGAGTACTGGATAGTTTTGGTAAAATGAAGGTTCAATGAGTTTTACTGCAGAGGGCCAAGTGCTTTATTTACCTAAGCCTGTGCGATGCACACATCAGTAAACGTACTTTAGCTGGACCAGATTCCTGTAGGACCTGGCTGCCTGAGAAGCTCTCAGCTCTGTGTCTTCAAAAAGACTCTTGGATGAAGAGAAAGTGTTGTTGCCCTAATTTCACAGGGAACAGAGAAACACTTAGAACACGTCTGCTCCGCTCTCCTGCCCATTCAAGCACAAAACCTGGCTGTAATTGAGTAATCTGGCACTGGCTAGTGTTACAAGCCTTGCTGCACATCAGCCTCTTTCTTCCCCTCTCCAGATGGCTGGCACCAGGCACAGCACTTCAGACTCTGGGCTCCAAGAGAATCCCATTACATGGTCACAGATCCCACGTAATTAAAATCCTTGGTCATTATTTCAGTAGGATCATCAGAATTAAGAAAGAAAAAAAAAAGGGAGGAAGAGGAAGAAAAACACAGCGTGCCCCAGAAGACAACTCACTGGCGAGGAGCAGCTAGCTGTTAACTGCAGCGACGTGCTCACTCCTTTGGCTGCTGTCCCCACATCCATGCAGAGTGACCTGGGAGGTAACATCACTCCTTGTCCCTCGTGGCACTGGCTACAAACCCTCCTTCGGACCCTCGTTCAGACGCTGAGCTGTGAGTGCAGGGCCCTGCTGCAGTGCAGCCAGGTCGGGACATCTCGCACTAAGCCGGCGGCACAACATGGGCACCTACCACACCAGGCTGGCTCGTTCCTTCTGATTATTCACGCCTTCAGGAAAAAAAGTTTCCTGATTTCTGTGTCCTCTGCAGCCCAAAAGCTTCCGAGGAGCCTTCCTGTCTGCCTCGTCACGAGCCGGCTGCAGTCAATGCTCCGGTCAGTAAATCCATCCTCCTGCTGCACTCCAGGAGGTTAAATAAAATAGTCAGAAACTTCAACTGCTGGGCCCTTCTCCCCCTTAGGACACAAATAAAGAGCCAAACTGTTATTTCAGGAAAGAAAAAAAAAAACAACCAGGGCTGCACATATTTATAAGAGGTGTGTCTTAGTTGGGATTAACGTGGCATTCAGAAACTGTGCAAGTGCCAACGTGGAAGAAAAATACAGCACGTTATTTATATCAAGCAATCACGTCTACTTTAATTATTTGGGAGAAAGATGGCAATCATCCGCTTCCTTAGCCACTTATTCTGCATTTAATGTTTTAACCTGGCACACAAAGCCTTCTCTATCGCTTCCTGGCTCAGGGCACGGTGCAGCCGGAACACTTTGCGCTCTCCCGTTCACAGAGACCTTTATGATTGATCTTCAGTAAAATGTGAAAACCATGAAACACAACAATCAGGTTTAACATCAGTAGTTTTTCTATAGCAGACTGGATTTCCCTCTGGCTACATTGCCTCAATCTGCCCTCCGCTGCGGACACTGGAATTACACCTGTAATTGCGGGGACTCTGCAGCCCATCAGCCTAATTAAACACATGGCATGACGAACTTGCACCACCAGCTTGGCCACAGCTATAAAACGCTCGGGGCAAGCACATCTGCCCAGCTTCAAAGGAGGAATAAAGGCTCCACGCTTGTTCTTAATAAAACATAAAGGCAGAAGTGACCACTGGACCGAAGGGTGAGACCTTCCTCGATTACTCTGACCGCTGACGCTGCCCAGCCAATTGCACAAGCTCTCGCTGAAAACTGATTTAGCACTGCACTGGTGACTCTTCTTTCGCCATCCGAGCTGGAGACTTTCAGAAATGGGAAACCCAAAGGTTCCTTTAGCAGCTGATCCACAGCTTGTTAAAAATTAATGACTTTTTATGACTTAATTGAGTTTGCCCTCTGCTTCTACCCATCAAGTCTTATTCTTTTCATGACTAAAAGGCCACGAATTCCCCAAGACAATACCTCTTTAATGCAACCTAGCCATCTCTCAGTCGAGTCTCTTACTCCATACTGCGTATCTCCAGCCCTTAAACCCCTTTTTTGCTGCCTTCTCCAGTTTTCCAACTTCCTTTTAAAAATACCGACGGCAGGCATGGAAAACCAAACCACACCACTATGGCAATGTCAGAAATAACATTACCCTCGCTTGTTACTCTACCTCCCGTGCCACAGGCACGATTTCATGAGGTGCAAACCATACCTGGGGGCTGCACTGCTCTTCTCGGCTGCCTACGTCCGCATCTGGTGGCACAGAAAACCAGTTCGCTTGACTGACCTCAACAGATCCAGATCTCGCTGGGAAAATGCCCAGTCACTGTTTTTAATCACCTTATTATTTTTTTACGTCACCCAGCACTTTTGCTAGCAGTGCTTATGCCCTTATTTTCACACCACTGCGCTAAGTTTGGTGAGTCTCGCAGCTGGTGCCAGTCGCTGCGGCACTCTGAGAAGCCTTACCCCAGTGACAGCATCCCATTGTGACTAACTGGAACGAAAACCCACAATGAATCACAAGATTGAGGGTTTTAATTCATTCACAAGAGCTTTAAAAAAATTAACAAATAAAAAAAAAAATCCCACCCACCACCAGCAAAAACTCCCCGCTAGTGCTAGTGCTGATTTTTTAATAACCACCACCGAGGACCGGATGATGCACAAAGGCCACATTGTTCTCCCACGGTAACTAATTTTCACCACACGCTTTGGGACTCGCTGGTAATTTCTTCAGCCTTTTTAACTGAAAAAAATAAAAAAATGGGAAAAATGGACAATTTCAAGACACAACTGCCCGATCCAGGCTGGCTAACACTGCACAGGTTCCTGCCAATTCCGTGTGCCAGTGGCATATTGCCCTATCGGGTCTGAAGGGGGAAAGTCCACCCCAACAGTGACTGCCTTCCAGCAGACCGGCACACTGATCACTCAGGAGAATAATCCAGTATCTAGTTTTTATCAGGAACATCATAAAAGCTTTGATCGTGCTAAATCAATACAGCACACAGCACAAATTGTGCAGGAAAACCTATTAACTCCATTCCATATATCCCCCTAACCCAGGCGTATTCCCTGTAACAACCAGCCTGGTTTTGCCCTTCAAAGCAACCAGGAGTTGTCCACAAATAAAATCTTCCTTCTGAATCCCTCAGCCGTGCCTACACCACCTGCTGCTAGGAAAGCTCCCGGAGAGAATTCGCTGCCCCGTAACTTCAGCGGGTTTTTTTTACCAAAAAAATAAAATACGCCTGCCGTGGAAATGAAGCGAGAGCAGGCAGACGGGAGGGCAAATTGCTTCTGATGGTTGTGGCTGAGGCTTGGGAATGAAACGCGCCGCCCGAGCACCTGAAGCGCTGGGTTGTTCGCAGAAGTACAGAAACAAAGCGTGAAACCGTGGGGGCAAACAGCAGCTTTGTGACTTGTTTCCACGGGAAGCCCAGCAGAAGTGGCTGGGGGGTGAGAGGCAGAGCCAGGAGGCTCCCCTGGAAGCGGGAAGAGCCAAAAGAGGCAGAAGTTGACAAGCCAAGGAGGAGCCGGGCAAAACACTGCTCTCTGACAGCAGTCCCGCCACAAGCCCTGCGCCGAGCCTCGCTCCAGATAACTACAAGCTGCAGCCGGGCACGGTCCCGGCTCGCCCCGCGCTCCTTCACCTGTGCCCAGGTGATAAGAGAAGGGCAAGGCCCAGCGGTGCCCCCAGCCCCCCCGCACCTGCGGGCACCGCCGGCAGCCCAGCCCGGGGCAGCATCCCCCGAGGCGGGGAAGGAAAGGGCGATGAAGCCCCGGGCGATGCTGCGGGCTCCAAGCACGCCCCGGGGCTGCCCCGGCCCCGCTGCGCCCTCCCCGGGGCCAAGCCGCCGGCCCCGGGCTCCCCCCTGGAGCCGCCCCCTGGAGCCCCCCCGGGCCGGTCCCTGTCCCGGTGGCGGTGGCGGTACCTGTGGTTAAGTTGTCGTTGATCTTCAGGGGCACCCGCAGGATGTAGACGAGGAAGAGCATGAGGAAGAACCACAGCGTCCAGAGGTAGGTCCAGGACCAGACGATGCAGGACTTGAGCTGCTCCAGAAAGCCCGTCCCGGCTTCAGCCATGTTTTGGAAAGGAAAAAAAAAGAAAAAAAAAAAAAAAAAAAAAAGAAAAGAAAAGAAAAGGCGCCGCCGCCGGCTCCGAAGCTGCTCTCTGCTGCCACGGCCCCGCAGCGGGTGCGGGGGGCGAGCGGCGCTCCCCGAGCCCGGCTCCTCCGCGGGGCCGCGCGGGGCTGGGCCCGGCCGCGCCGCCCTAAGATGGACTCCGCCGGGAGCCGCCCGCGCCCAGCGCCGGGGGAGGCAGCGCGGGGCCCGCTCCGAGCCGAGCCGAGCCGAGCCGAGGGGCCGCAACGCCCCGGGCCCGGCCCCGGCTCGGCCCGGCCTCGGCCCCGGCCACGTGCTGCGGGGCGGCCCCCAGCGGCCCCCGGCTGCCGGGGGGAGGCGCGGGGGGGACGGGGAGGGACCGGGAGCGGCTCCGGGACGGGGACACCGCGGGGCGAGGGGACACCGGGGGGGGGGCGCGGGGCTCGGGCGGCGCCTGATGAAACGCGGGGAAACGGCCAGGGGCGGCCCCGGCAGCGCAAATGCCGGCAGCGCGCACCGGCACGGCTGCCTGCCTGCTCTGGTCTCTTATTTTATGTTTCATGTTTTCATTGCTCTTTTTTTTTTTTTTTTTTTAATTATTTCTTCTTTTTATTTTTTTATTTTTTCATTTTTTTCTTTTTTTATGTTTTCATTTTTCTTTCTATTTTTTTTGTTTCTTTTTTCTTTTTCGTTTTTCCTCTTTTCCGCTTTTCTTTTTTTTTCCCTTTTTTCTTTTCTTCCTTTTTTCTTTTTTTTCATGTTTTCATTTTTATTACTTCTTCTGTTTTTTCTTCTATTTATTTTTTTCTTTTTTTCTTTTTTTTCTCTTTTTTTTCTTTTTTATTTTTTTCTTTTTCTTTCCCTTTTTTCCCCTTTTTTCTTTTTCTTTTTTTTTTTCTTCCTCTCTTTCTTTTCTATTTTGTGCTTGGCTTTGCATTTTTCAGCAAGGATTTCAGCTGAGGTTCTCACCGTGCAGCAGAACTTCAACCCTAAAAAGTGTTCCTTGTGGGATCAGGATCATGCAGTTGTATTATTTATTTATTTATTTATTTATTCAGTCTCTTTGCCTAGCCTAGTCTTCCTAGGATAGTATCAGAGGCAGAAAACTACAATTTTATGTGCACCCTATCGTGTACATTCATGTGTACCATGCTCAGCACCACCCTGAACTGTAAAGCTCCCCATTCAGAAGATAGACACCACATGGCCAAGTAAACCAATGTCTTAGTAAAAAAAAAAAAGTGTAGACAAAGCACGGTCTTCAAGTAGTAAAACTGCACTTTTGTGAAATGCATTTTTCTTCTACCATGACCTACTGACATACTACATGAAACAAGATTTGTCAACGGGCTGTGACAAAAATTCAGAGGCCATTCCCTGTAACTGGTTCCCACTTCTCTGATGTCCCAAGGGTTACAAACATGCATGTACTGCACACTGTGCACTTCAATTTGTCTTGACCTCTCCCCTTCTAAGCTTCTACCGTCTGTTTGGAGTGGGATAATGCTCTGCAGCACCTTGGGAAATAGCTGGCATTTCTGAAGCAATACTGAAAGAAGAAGAAATCCTGTCAAATGGCTCGAACTGATGATAGCTGCACTCTCCTGGGGTTTGCTAGTCTGCCAATGAGGAAGTCACTATAGATAAAACACAGCTTTTCCAGCAGGTTTACAATACCTAAAAAGCATTACAGCAAAATAAATCTGCAGTTTTACAAATTCATACCTTATTATGGTACCAAAGACACCCTGACTCACAAATTTGTTGTTCCACGGGACGTGCAGCTGGGTAGGCAACACAGGCTGGGGCTCGGGCATTCAGAGGTGCTAGGATCTTCGGATTAAGGGAGGTGTCGCCATACGGCAACACTGGTGTGAGACTGGCACAGGTTTTTCCCACTTTTTTTTTTTTTAATTAGAATATACAGATGGCATTTTGAAAGAAACTGCAAGAAAGGACATTTATAGTTAAATTACATGCCACAGAAAACCACATTTCAATTTTTTCTGCTTCCTCTTCCAGTTAGAAAGACTTAAGACATAAGTCACATTAAAAAAAACCACAACCTTATTCCATGATAATATTACTGCTAAATTAAAATATTCCTCTCACATTCTCTTATGTATAGGGGGAAAAAAGAGCAAATTTGTCACATAGTTTTTCTCCACATCTGGTAGTTTTGAGCATATCATTGCCTATACCACAAAACTATGATCGATTCCTCTCCTAGAGGAAAGACACAAAGGTTTTTAAAAGCACAGAGGTTTAAGAAAAGTCGAGGAAGAAGAACCGTGCGTTTGCTCGAGGTGGAGAGGAGTTGCCTTAGGGTATCTTGGGTCACGGCTGGCAGGGTGTGCTCAGGCGATGCACTAATTGCCTTGCTGTTGCCACCGGTGAAGACACCGCTGAGCTCCCAAGCACGATGCCCGCGGTTCGGGCTGTGTTTAACACTAATTCTCCCTCCTCTCTCCATTCTGCTTGCAAAGGGTGCCAAGTATCAACACAAAGTTTTAAAACATCCGTTTTACAAGTCAAAAAGCAAACTCTTCAGTACTATAAAGAGAGTTTATTAAGATTTTATGAAGTGTCTCCTGGCTCTGGGTACTCGCTCCTCTGCTAGGTCAAGACATAACAGAGTACAGCTGAAGTGGTCATTGCAAAAAAAAAAAATCATTTTAAAAGCATCTTTTACCTTCCTGCTCTGATTTTCCACACAACTCTTATTTGGTTAAGTGTTTTCACACAGCTCTTCGGGTACCCCAGTCCCTATTTCTGAGCACCTTGCAGGTGCCCACACCGCTCACTTATTTGCCATAAGCCGAGCCCGGGCTGCTCGCTTTCTCAGACGCCTGTTGGTGACTTTGCTGAATTAAATCAGGAAGTGGAGGCAGCGACAGTCACTGAGCGTGAAGTACAGCAAAGTTATTGCTTTTCTCCAGAAGGAAGGATCAATCCTGAGCCTGGGGCCTGGCAAGTAAGAAGCAAGAGATGCTACCGGCACGCACCAAAAGGCGAGGGTTACGATCTGCACCCGTGCACGTGCACATGTGTACATACAGACGTAAATCCCCTTGCACATAGCGTGGCTGTTAAACATATGCAAGCCCATGTTAAACAATATCAGGGATGAACTGGAGATGGCAGTCTAAACCGAAAACTATGATGCTTATAAACAGCATGCCACTGTGAGTGAAAGCACTAAAGGAATTGTCACAGCACGCTGTTGCCAGCACTCTTCAGGCATCCCAAAGCCTTAATAAAACAGCTCAGACACGTAGGAAGGTCTCTTTCCAGCTAAAGCACACAGTTCTTAGCCACAGCCCAGAGAAATGAAAACACGTTAAAGAAGACTGAAATAAAAATTTTTGCTTACAATTTAATAAGTCTATTTTCATTAAAAGCAAACAAAAAAACTACATACTTTACTACGGACTTCCGAGCAGTGTGCTCAGCCCGAAGCTTCTGATCCTTATCTTGTAAGTGAGATGCTGTGGTACTACAGGAATATGCTTCAGCTGAAAATAAGACAGTCATATTTCAAATTATGCTATCATATTTGTGCACTAAGATCACCACTTCTCAAAAAGTTAAAAAAAAATCATCTTCTTTCTAGATTTCCAGGCAGCATGCAGGTTAGACCACAGGGAATGAAGCTCTGCCTGATTTATCTGTTGATGCTGGAGGGGCAGCTGAAGGAGCAGGAGCTGCACCCCCAGATTCCCAAGGATCTGTTTAAACTGAGGGAGGATGGAGAAAACGAAGAGAAGGCTGACGTGCCCTAAACATGTGGGGCTGCTCATGGCCATAAAGACTCAGGCCAAAAAAGAGGATGAAGAGCATGTGTGGACAGTTATAGGGGAGGGAAGAAGGGCAGCCTGGAGGAAAGTCAATTATGGCTCTCACTGACAAGAAAAGCAGCCGGGCAGCTGCCTTAGCTGCAAGGCAAGTCACTGATACAGAATTAGACCTGGCTCGGTTAACAAGATGCTGATGGAAGCACAGTGCAAAGAAAGGAGCCACCAAATACTTAAGTGCAACTCCGAGCAGCGTTTCAGTATTTTCAGGTAGCGTTAGAAATAAACCTTAGCCAGAAAACCAAACCAAACTCTGACCTGTTTTCCTTCTTTTTTTTTTTTTTTTCTTCCTTTTTTGCCTAACAAATGACTTTTCTCCCTAAAAATCAGACAGGTATTTGCTGAACGTCAGCAGAAGCAGGTGGCAGTGCAGGGCACGGTGCCTCCTCCCAACCACATCTGTTTGCTAAAGCTTATTATTGATACACTTCTGGAAAAAAAAAATCCACAGAAGCATCTGCCAGTAGCGCTTACATATTTCTTGTGAAGTAATTGACACACACGTTCACTGAGCTATTTTACGAAGATCCTTTATAAAAATCAGGTGGCGTACAGAGCCCCGCCAGTGTTTGTGCGAGATGGGACGTGCTTGGGATATGTAAGGAAATACTAAAAAGCCGCAAGGTTGGCCTCTGGTCAAAACAGAGCTCTTGGCAAGCTGGAGTTTGGCATCGGCACCCACACATCTTGGTAGGTCACAGGAGGCAGACGGGGCTGTGGGAGAGACGGGGAGGCAGGGACAGATGGAGGGGAGCCCGGGGGGACCAGCGCTGCTCGTGGCCTCCCCCGGTTAGGTTGAGGGGCAGGACAGCAGCTCGGCTCCCCAGACCCATGCCCTGGAGCAGAGCCAAGGGTTAAGCCTGCTTCTCTTTTCTGAGGTGAATTTGGAGCTGCCGGAGAAGGCACTGAATTTCCTTGCTGTTCAGCATCTTGCCTTTTTTCGTAAGAAAAGATGTTGAGTGATTGCAATTTGATTTGTGTTGTTACTGTACTAAAAAAGGGACCTTTTTAGCAGACAAAAATGTCTCAATTACTCTATCTGAAATCTGCAATTAGTGCATACACAGCATTGTTTATTTTTCCTATCACATAATCCCAGAATGGTTTGGGTTGGAAGCAACCTCAAAGCCCACCCAGCTCCACCCCCCTGCCATAGCAGGGACACCTCCCACCAGCCCAGGTTGCCCAAAGCCCCATCCAGCCTGGCCTTGAGCACCTCCAGGGATGGGGCATCCACAGCTTCTCTGGGCAGCCCATGCCAGGGCCTCACCACCCCCTGAGTGAAGAATTTTTTCCTCATGTCTAATCTAAATCTGCCCTCTTTCCGTTTAAAGCCATTCCCCCTTGTCCTATCACCACACCCCCTGGCACAGAGTCCCTCCCCAGCTTTCCTGTAGGCCCCTTTAGGTACTGGAAGGCTGCTCTAAGGTACCCCCC